GCCGCCGCTCCTGCCGGCCTCCGCCGCGCCCGGCGCTCCGCCGCAGCCGCCGCTGCCGCTGCAGCAGCCACCGCCGGTTAGCTCCGGCCCCACATCGACCGCGCCGGTGGGAGTCCCGCTCCACCAAGTCCAGTCCCCGCCGTCGCCGTCACCGCTTCCGTCTTGGATCGCTACCCGCCACGTGTCGGCGGCGGTGAGGCTGCAGGCTACTGCGCGCGGCCTCCTAGCGCGTCGGCGTGTGCGGGAGATGCGTGGTCTGCAGCTGCCGCTCCTCCAAGTTGCCCTTCGCTGCGCAAAGGACCTCGATCTCATCCGCTGCGTCGGGGATCTTGGGTATGCGGTTTCCCCCACGGGCAGCGGGCATGCTGTTTTCCCCACGGGCAGCGACCTCCAAGTCTGCGACATTGGCGGTTGGGGGGGTGCACCCCTCCTCGTCATTCTCCATCGCAAGCCCCCCACTCTTCCCTGTGCGGTGCAGACCAACAGCCATCCGGCAGGAAGAAGGCATGGTGTCACCGACAACAACGCACCACGTAGCACCACTGCATTCCGTCACCGGGCGCCCTCTGCTGGTCACTCTTGCGACCACTTCCAGGTGGTCCTACACATGCACTCCTTTTGTCTAGATGGTGTCCATGGGATCCAGGTGGCTGTACACGTGCATGTCCGACGTGCGGATGGTGTCCACTTTTTGTTAAGGGATCCAAAATAAAGCGTCCCAGTCCATTTTAGGTTGAGAATAATAAAACAAGCCGAGATGTAAAAGGCTTGTTTTTAGGTGTTAGGTTTGGGTTGCGTCGAGTCATGGTTATAAGTTGGTTAGGCTGCAGCTTGAGGACAAGCTGCATGTCCAGGTGGGGTGTAGTGTTAGAGTACGTAATGGGCCTAATGGGCCCGTTAGTCTTAGGGTTAATTAGAGATAAGAGTCGCTTGCTTAGGAGTCAAGTAAGCCTTGCTTGGGAGTCAAGTAAACCTCTCTATATAAAGAGAGGAGATGTATCAATCTAATCAAGCGAGAATTAAGAAGGAAATCCCTTCCCTCTTGCCCGGCCGTGGGCAAAAAGGCCCCTGGCCGGCCCTCTCGCGCCCTCCTTCTAGCAGCGCCATAACAAGTTGTTTAGTTAATAAACCTAGTGCAGCATGATTCGTCTTGTACATGCTCCACTTCTCATCTAGAATGGCATGCTGATCTAAACACAGCCAGCCAGCTTTGAGAAAACTGTTTCGAAGATGATCTGTCATGTCTTTCTGAACTTTGGTGAAATTCTTAAACTAATTAGAATTTAGAAGTATCATTTACATGTCTTTAGCCTGAAACCATTATATTTATATATAACTGTCCATGCCGCCGAGGAGTAGTTAGGGCCCCGTCGTGTAGCTTATTAGTTCTATAATATCTGAGAGAGAGAGAAAAGAGAGAGGGGTGGATGGATCCTGTATATATCTTTGGAGTCCAAACTGGTAGTAATCTGTAGTTTCGATTGATCTTGAATCATTGCTAAATTGAAGCTGAAAAACTTGATCGAATAGCCAATTCCAATCTCCATTTTGTGTATCTTTCGTTTGGATGTCTTGTTATGTTGATCCTTTTGCTTGTTCTTGATCTTGATGCCCATGTGAACAACGATCTTCTCTTGCTGCAATGTTTCAGTATTTTTTTTTGAAACGAATGTTTCAGGCAGTTTCACTTGATTAGCCGTTCTTGAGGGACAATCTTGGAATTGCTTGATTTAGCAGGGTGCGAATCGTGAAAATTTTGTGTTAGCGAGTGATCTGATTTGGGGGAAGGGGATCAGAGAGGTCTACCAATTTAGGGAATATTTCTAGGGTCGTAGCATAGGAGATGCTCAATTGGGCAAGCAAGGCTGAGCTACATGCTAGGGTTCCTCTGGGCAAGCTGCTGGATCGGGCCGCCACTTTCTCCTCAGGCTCCAAGTTGTTCGTCCGAGGTATGATTCGTACATTTCATTCTCCTCTGGTGTTCAGTTCCTAGTCAATTCGTTTGGTGCTTGGACCCCAATCTCTCCTATGTTGAGATCTGATGCCAATTTGAGAATCTGCTTAGGAACAGGGGATTCATGCTTGGAACAACCCTGTTAGTTAACACTGAGCACATCCTGCTTATTTGCGAAAGATAAAGGACATTGAGCTATCTGAGAAATGTGCTGACTTAAGAATATGGTTGAGGATGTTCTGATGCCCTGCTGTTTCTTCCACTGAGTTTTTCAGGTCTGTCCTACAACTCGAATGAAGTTGCTCTCAAGGACGCCTTCTCTCAGCATGGCAATGTTATCCAAGGTACAAATTTATCTGTTCTGAATCTTTATGCGGTTGTATCTGTGATTTGTGTGGACTAGGGGATTGTCCTCTGATTGGCCAATGTGCCTTACAGTGAAAGCAATATGCCATCCTGTCACGGGGAGATCCAAAGGATACGTCTTGGTCAAGTTCTCTTCAGAAACTGAAGCAGCCGCGGCGTTGGAGAGGATGAGTGACGAGGTAAAAATAAAATGTGCTTCGTTGATCTGTTGGTACAGCAAAAAAAGCCATGTTCTCGCAGGATGATATGCAGCGTTTGGTGCGGCTCTTTTCCTTACGCTAACACAGTTTGGCCACATGATGATTGTTTCAGGTGCTTGATGGAAAGAAAATACGGGTGGATTATGCAAACAGCGAACAATCTGCTGCTGCTGCTGCTGCAGATGAGTAAGGTGCCTATCTGGAATCTGTAATTGTTTCACTGTAAGGCACATGTACTCTGTATATTTACGTAATCACCAGTATATATTTTAAGTTCAGTCCTATGACCAACTTCAAATAGACCGGCCGTCTGATTTGTTTAGCTTTACATTGCCTGTAGCATTGTGATTATTGATAACTTAAAATACAGAAGAACGTCTGACAGCTAATTCTCTTATACTAAGACACGGAATTCATTCATCGACCTTATTTTTTATTTGAGGTCAACATTAGCCATGGTCTAGGAAACAATTTATGCCCGGTTTTTAAAAACTTGAGTATGGCATCAAGTCTCAGGAAAAGTATTGGGTTAGAAAATCAATTTTATTGCATGTTACAGTGTCGGGTTTACATGGGAAATGAAGTGTTTGTTGTGCCCAGAATCTGTAATGTCGATGGAGCCCTGGACATGCATGCACTCTGTACATTTGAATGATCATCGGTACTTATTTTATTTTCATTCCCATACCAGCTTTACGGGTAGACTAGTCCTCTGATCGTTTAACTTGGCACTGGCTGTAGCATTCTGCCTATTGCTAACTGAAAAGAACAGAGCAACACCTAATCGGTGGTGAATTCTCTTTCACCAAGAGACATAATTAATTCCATTGCTTTTGTTTTAGGTCAACATTAACGCTAGTTTTGGAAACAATTCATGCCCCTGATCTTAAAACCTGAGAACTTGCTTTCGCTTCTGTTATAATGCAGAAATATCATCCAGAAGTGTATAATGTTGCAGCAAAGCTTGGCATATCGTAACTATCGGGTGTGGGAAGGAGTTTGTAAATTGGAGATATTTTTTTGTGTGGCAATTTTACTTAAAGGACACTTGTAAATTTGAGCTTAGTTTGGTAAATTTGACCAAAACATGAGAGTTCCATTTCTTCAAACGCACATGATTCAGCATGAAGCATCTCATATTTAGATCAATGAGCCAAACATATAACACAAGGGAACTGGAAAAGGAGTTCCTGATTTATCTGCACTACTTCTTTCAAAGCTTTAGAATTTATATGAGCTGTAACTCAACGAGTGTAGGTATAACACAGGACTAGTTCACACACCCAAGGAAAGGACAAGCCGCCAGACAGTCATTTATCAAGCTGCATCCGAATTTTCTAGGCCCTTTACAATGTAAGTAGCATAAGGATTCCTGTACAATAATGATGCCATATCTGCACCACTGCATATACTTAGAATCGTTGAGAACCAAAACTATCATGGAATGCTGACGCCGAGTGCCCTCATTAGTGGCACTTTTACTTTTGGCAGGCAGTCACCTCCTTATGCTGATTCTTGTCTGATTTCCTCCATTAAAGAAAAAAAAATCACTAAACCTGAGATCGTAGCACTCTCCACAACACATGCTAATTGGTCAGAATTCCGAATTAATTACTGCTTGCAAAGAGCTAGACTTAAAAGGTAGTATCTAACTATCTATTTAAATTTTTATACCGTAGTTATTTTTCCTCCAAATGTCTGAATCCATATCCGAATTCAGAAGTCATTCAGCCAAAAAAGATGTACTCCCTCCGTCCTCAGATATGGGCAATGAAAGCTGTAGCCCCTCATAATTTATTCTGCGTGAATGTTATTAAGTGGAATAAAGACGTTGACAATAGGACACGATGCTTGACTAATCTCAGCTATTCACTGAAATGCATGTATGTTATGTTATACACCTCTTCCTGCTCAAAATAACATAGCCGCAGAACCTTTTCTTCATTCTGAACAAACTGCAACTACACCTGAATGGCTGAGTTGGAAGCTAACATGATCCATCAATTCTTCCCCGATCAGGTCTTCTCCTAAGCATGAGACCTTTATCCGAGGGACACATACTGGGCTCCATTTGGCATAAGCATTGTTTCGCAAAGGGAACCATGAACCATCTGTAGTTGCCCCCAAAGGTTAGAATAACTTTGCCTTGCCTTTTGCTGTTTGGTTTCGGGGTTTTGCTGGGTTTGTGCTTTGCTCTGTCTTGGATGCGTGTTTGAGGAAAAAAGGGGATATGGCATTAATTGATAAATGGGGAAATAACTGGAATGAATATACGAGATGACATTCATTTTTCTAGCAGGTCACGGTGCTGTATAACTTCACTGTAAGAACTAAAGGAGCAGCAGGAGACTCCTAATTCTATATTTTAACAAAATAAGATATGTAACTATCAGTGTACTCTACAAGTGGTAGAAGACAGAATCTAAATTGCAATAAAGTTGGCAGAAGTGGTCAGGGAATTAGCAAGCTCCCGAGTGACCCTCAACTTCAGAATTTCAATATCTGCCTTGAACATTCTAATCCAGTCCCTAATATCAGCAGGGATGGCATGAAAAAAAGCACATGTTTCTGTTTTTCCAGTGTTCCAAGCCGCAAGAATTGCCCTGTTTTCGGGTGCGTCTAGGTCCTATATCACTAGTTCAAATCAATAGTTAAGGAGTACCTCTTGCAAATGTCACTTCCATATCCTCTGATGACAATGTATGCCAGTTTTGGTGGAATTTTCTTCCCACCCACGCAGGAGGGCTGGATGGTTTGTTTATGTTTCTTTACCCGATTAAAATAAATAAATATCTTGTTAACTGGGTGTCCAAATTACAAACCGTTCCCACCATTGCATTTCTCGCATTGATATCTTCAAAATTAGATCACATGTTGATAAGTTTTGGCAAACTTATTTCGATCGAAAATCATGTTCCCAATGTGAATTAACATGTGCTCCAAACTGTACTAACTCGGGAAGCATGCATATACTTTATATCATCAGTGCAGACTGCAATAATCTTGTCATCCACTTCACTGCAGAACTTTGTCTTCATTCTGAACAAATTGCAACAACACCTGAGTGGCTGAATAGGAAGCGAACACGATCCATCATAGGCACGACTGCACGAGACCTTTATCCGAGCGACACATTATTGGGCTCCATTTGGCATAAACATTATTTTAAAAAAGGGAACCATCTGTCTTTTAGCTAGGTTAGAATAACTTTGCCTTGCTTTTTGCCCTGTTTTCACTCGGTCTGTGCTTTGCCTTGTCTTGGATGTGTGTTTGTGAAAAGAAAGAGGGAACCATCTGTTGGTATATGGCATTAATTGATAGCGGGGGGAATAACTGGAGTGAATATGCTTACGTCATCTGGCAGATACGTGATTACATTCATTTTGTAGTGGGCTATGGTGCTGTATAACTGCACTTTAAGCGAAAATTTGATACAGGTCGCACTGTAAGTATTAATTGTACTAGATGTTATACGAGAAGGAGATATTTCTGCATTTTGTAGTGGTCTATGGTGCTGTATAACTGCACATGTGCTTCACACAACACATCCGAGCTCTGGCGGACAAAAATCGAAAGAAAGTGGAAAAAAAATCCCCAAAAAATTGGAAACCCAGAAAAAACCCACCGCAGTGCTAGAAACAAAAAAGTATTGTGACATTTTAAAAAGTGTTCCCGCATTAAAAAATATGTTCCTCATGCTTTAAGAAAATATTTTTACAACGTCAAAATAATGTTCGTGTAATTTAGAAAAATGTTTTGTACAATTCAAAAAAAAAATGTCCGTGGCACTAAAGACTGTGTTCAAGCATTTTTCAAATGTTTGCACATTTACATAAATGTTCATGGAAAAATGTTTAATGTGTTACAAGAAACATCTACTGTGCATATAAAAAATGTACAATGTAAATTTGGCAAATGTTCAAACATGTATTCAGAAAAATCTTCACCGTCTATTAAAAATGTTCAACCTTTATGTAAAAATATTCAAGCTATATAAATAAAATGCACACCATGATTTTCTTAAAAACTCCGACTATGAGAAATGAGAAAATAACAAAGAGAAATTAAATAAAAAATAATAACCAATGAAAAACAAAAGAAAACTAGAAATAACAATGAAAACACAAAAAAGGATGAATAACTGTACAGAAAACACAACCGCGTGGAAGGTTCTAAAACCAGTTCGCAGCATTCCATCGATGAGCGCAGCTATGTGCCGCTTGTTGCGAGTCCTACCGAAGCTCACCTACAGGGACCACATGTTGGGCCTGCCCTGTAACCGTGCGCTATTTTACGTCATGTTTTTTTGTTTTTTCTTCCGTTTATTATTCACATTTTTATATCTTATTTTTCTTTTCTAATTTATTTATATTTCATAATATTCTATGCATACATATATATAGAAAAATAATCGCATATAATTTTGAAAAATGTTAATCATGCATTCAAGTTTTTTTAAACGTGTATAGAAAAATGCTAACCATTTGTATGATTTGTTTTTGTGAAATCAATAAAATATAAGACGTTTAAAAAAATCTACATGCATTAAAATATTTAGAATAATTCTAAAAATGTAAGTTACATTTAAAGAAAATGTTCACAAGTTTCAAAAATATGTTTGTGACATTTTCATAGAAATGTGTACATAATGTTAAAAATGTTTAGTACCATTAAAGAATGTACATGAAATTTGTCTGCATCATGAACAAACTGCAACAACACATGAGTGGCTGAGTAGGAAGCGAGCATGATCCAACATAGACACGAGACCTTTATCCTAGGGACACATTATTGGGCTCCATTTGCAATAAACATTATTTTAAAAAGGGAACCATCTGCACATGCCCCGAAAAGTTGTACTCGATGTTATATGGGAAGAAGATAATTCTGCATTATGATCCAGTAGAAGACTGTCATTAAACAACACAAGATGCGAAGAATTGATCCATAGTTATGAGGATAGATAAGGGACAACCGGGTCTGCCTGCGGATGCACATTATGGGAACAATAGAAAACAAAGTTTATGTTTAGAAAAAAATAGGAAACATCATTACTTCTTTTCTTGGTATGAGAATCCAAGGTAAGCAAAAACTCGTATGGTAAACAAATGGCAGAGATATATTATTCCTGGTTTCTGTTTGAAGTTGACATGCTAGTGCATGTTGGCCTTCTTGGAGAGCAACACAGAGTGGATATTGGGCAACATGCCACTGTGGGCAATGGTGATGCCATCAAGCATCTTGGAGAGCTCCTCGTCGTTGCGAGTGGTGATAAGAAGGTGGCGCGACATGATGCAGGTCTTCTTGTTGTCCTTGGCCGCATTGCCCACCAACTCCAGTATCTGTGGTTTAAAGAGAACACCAAGACGACATTAGTTACCACTCTGTTGAGCATGAAAAGAACAGGAATGTACGAGATCGGTCATTGGTTGGTTACCTCGGCGGCAAGGTATTTGAGGACGGAAGCGAGGTAGACGAGGGCGGAAGGGAATGCACGGTCTGCCTAGTGGCCCTTCTTGAGATAGCGCCCGATGCGTCAGACGAGAAACTCGAGTCAAGCCTTCATGGACCAGGTCACCGCTTTCTTCCGCTCGCAATTCTTCCTCCCGACCTTCTCCCCTCCTTCTCCGACGAACTTGAATCTCTCAAAATGTGCGTGGTGGCCCTGATGGATGTGAATATGAAGGCACCATTATTATAGGGGGCGGGGGTGCTCCACAGTAAGGGGCGCAATTCGCATGACGTTCAGTCGCTACCATTGGATCTGTGAGGGCGGGTGGCAGGGATCGACTCGGAGGGGCACAATCCGTGGGAAAGGGTGTGATCCCTGTGACCAGCATTCTCCACCGTCAGATCTGGTAGGTGCAAGCGGATAGGATTGGCTCGGCTAGTGCGATCCGTGTCAACATTGGTCTTTGCCGTTGGACCTGGAAGATTCAAGTGGCTACGATTAGCTCGGGGGTATGATCCATGGGAGGACCGAATGGACCAATCAGGATTTGAGAATCTTCTATCCTCGCTTCGTTTCGTTTTTTCCCTTTAATGTGGGAATTGAATTCGGAAATCGGGGAGGAGGGAGGTTAGACTCTTTTTCACACCGAAGATTTTTCTGTTTTGTTATTTTTGGCAATTCCTTTTTATTTTTGGTATGATTGACTGGAAAAATCCAAGCATTTTTGCACCAATGAAGAAATTCAAGCATGTCATGAAGCACTCAACAAGAAAAGGCATCCCGTGAAGAAGGAGAAGGTCCCAAAATACATAATCATCTAGGGGTGACTACAAGGAGGTCAATAAGAACGATTTTGTTTCCATGCACATTGTCAATCCATATACTGAAG